AGGACACCCAAACACACCCTCTCCTCTAGAGTCCTAGGCTATCCCACCTGAAGGGAGCCTATTACATGTACAAAATAGTGTGAAAAGACTACAAACAGCCCATGCACCAAACCAGCATCAATTTCCCTACTTCCTCTGGCTTCAATTTTATTTTTATTGCTGTCATGTTCTTAATCTCTTTGCAAGCACATCACAAAACATAATTTCAATCCCACAGTACATATTCAAAGTAGATATTAAGTACTACTTTAGATTTTATACCTAAGCTATCAAGTCTCCTTAGTATTATCATCCAGTAACTGTTAAGATATACAATAAATTTCAGAATATTAAGCCACACATGTTATGTTAAAAATATCACCTCTGTAGACCTTATAAGTGCAATTTTAGCACATTTGAAAACTGGAATTGGTGACACTAAAATATCTCACAAAGTCAAGATAACTACATTTAAAGGTTTTTGTATGCTATCAGATTGAGTGCTCTAAACTATATGATTTCTTAGTTTATGCTCTTTCTTGCCTAAATAAATAAATTCATTATCCATCTTGTAGAAAGTTCCAGCCTGTACAACTCCCAAGGAAGCTTTGATTATACAAATGATGTACAGATCATCAGTACAGATAGAGAGACAGAGAGATAAAGATAGATATCGATAGGAATTCTAGTAATTATGGACAAGACTAATGAATTCTGATGCTCTAAATTGCCTACAACTGTCCCCTTCTTTCCCTTCCATCCTCTTCCTTCCTGTTTCCCCTCCTCCCAGCTTTCTCTCTTCTTACATCTATTCATCAAAAATAGGAATAATGGCTCCATCTCAGTGTGCTTACAAGTCCTGTATTTTAGGCATGATGTGGTCTGCCACATTAAAGCACAATGCACAATACAATAGAAGAAGAAAAATAAATCCAAAAACGATTTCATAGAGACTATGATTAATATTGTTTTACTCAAAAGTTATCTCAGGTGCAACATCTGTCCACAAACGATCCTTCTTCTTGAATTTACATGGAAGAAGTATTCACTTGCCATTTTCATTGCAATCAAAAGCACAGAATTCCAAATGACGACCAATCTTTACTTTGTAGGTGACTAGTATTAAGCCCAAGTTTATGTGTGATCTCCCAGTTTTTAAATCCACCAATGGAAGACTCAGGACATGAGCCCATAAAAGCAGCTTCTGGGAACAGTAAACCCTATGATTCCCCTCCAACTGCTGGCTGAGGTCAGTATCCCTATCATTAGCCAAGCCATAACATAATTGTATTACTGATCCTTATGTGTGGGCAGATACTGAGCAATAACTGAATGCACCACATCATTGCAAAAATGAAAACAGTGCCATGTCTTTATACCATTTTAGCATAAAATCAGTGAAAACAGTCTTTAGAAATGACACTGCACTAAGAGACTGAAAGCTGTTATCACTCTGTAGGTATACGTTCAAACTGATGATTTGACATCTTCAACTAGAACAAAAAAAAAAGAACTATATTTTGCTACTGAACTCTAATCCAGAGCTCATTTAATCTAATTTCTTTTGGTAACATTCAGTTCAATTAAAGGATACACTGTTACTTAAAATAGTCTAATTAGATGAAACTCTGCTCTGGTACCCATCTTTCAATGTCTACAATAGAAGTATGCTTTCAGTTGCAAGAAGTGAAGGCTGTTTCCTCCAGTTTGCATGCTTCTGGCCAGTCTCTGAGCTCCATTGCTCTTTCAAAAGCTGACCTACATAGAACATACACCACGCCACCAGTTCTGGCATATGGGAAGGGATACCTCACTCACTTGCTATAACCGACATCATTTGCCTTGTTCCCCCAATGGGCTACGTGAAAGTGAAGGCCAGTTTGCACTGTGATATGTTCATCATGCACTGGATTCTTACAAAAGAGCACTGGGTTAAACTGCTTCCAAATGTGCCCCCTACAGGGTTTATTAACTGAAAAATCTAAATAGTGTTTTGGCAATGTACAGAGCAGTGGGGATGGGAAGTGTCAGCGAAGTAAAACAACCACATTTCAATGCAGAAAAGCTCAGAAAAAGGATATTCATTTTCTCAATTAAGGTCTCTTCTGACACTGAGAAAAAAAGGCCACCGGAAAACTATATTTACAATTGTAAGATACTAAAGCACAGAAAGTTATGGTTCTACTGAGACTTAGCACAGCAACCTTAAACAGTACAGTGTTGACAGGTTTAAAATAAAGATAATTAGTAGTTTATGATCTTACCAAACTGTTAAAAACAAATAATCTAAGAAAGTGACTGTTATTTCTAATAAACAGCAATTCATTACACCTCAGAAGGAGAACAGGTTTACTTTGTAATCTTGTCTCTATGGGAAGTCTAATTCAGCCTGGGTTTTGCTACATATAGATACAGGTTTCTTTTTTTCACTTTTCCAAACTTCTCCCCTTCTTTCGCATCTCTACACATTACTGCAGAATGTGCACTAATTGACTCAATCCCAAGCAATTCAAACAGTGGATCTAGGCAGGAATTTTATACCAATGCAAATCACGATGAGAGCAGGAAACAAGTGCCCGAGCTTTGTGGGACCTTGCAACCTTCTCAGTACATTTAATACAGTCAGGGATCAGTGACAACTATGTTTGATAGACTGTGACCCAGGGATGGGCAGGAGAAGAGTCCCTGGAGAAACATTTCCATGAGGTCTTTTTCTATGAGAAGAAACAAGTCTTATGACTTTGCATCTTTAAAAATCCATTATTCTCTGTGGAAGTTAAATAGGAGACCTGCAACTAGTCTAGAGAAAGGGCGGCTGATTTGCATTTAAAAAGAACAGTTTGCTTCTTACACACAGGATGACTTAAAAGGAGCTTCAGTGAGCTAGTAAAGAAATGGTGAAGACTTTCAAAATTAATTTATTCAATTCACAGCACAACCCTCTAAAATTATTTAAGACACTTAATTGGAAAATGATTTAATATATTGAAGCAATTCCTGATTTTCCAAAGCATTTAACTCTTAAATTAAATTTGACCCTACTTTCACAAGAATGACGAGTGAAATGTGTATTCAAGTCATTACCTTCCTTTTTGGAGCCTAAGTCACTGATAAATGTAATAAGACTTGTATAGTTTTATTGTCAAAATGGTACTGATTTTTTTATTCTGGTAGCAACTACAGAACAGGTCTTTAATCTCCAAGACAGACCTGCTACTTTAAAGAAAAAAGTATTCTTGTTATAAAGCGAAATAAAAAGTAACAAGCTTTTTATTTTTAAAAGGGTTTTAAAGTCAGAACAGATTTTAGACTGCAACAACAGCGTTGCCAGCAAAGAGTAAAACTTCATCGCACAAACTCCTTCTGTGTTTACCGAAGTTCCCAGTACCTTTCAACTTGTATCTAACTCAAGAGCTTCTTATGTGTATGAGTGTTTCTATTTTACCCCCTTCCCTAACTTCTAATCTCCTTTGCACACACCTTTTACTGAGTATTAAAGTGGACAAGGAACCCAGTTGCTTCTCCACGGGGGGTAATGTCTGCATAACTCACAGTTTCTCTCTCTCTCTCTCTCTCTCTCTCTCTCTCTCTCTCTCTCTCTCTCTCTCTCTCTCTCTCTGTGTGTGTATGCGTGTGTGTGTGTGTGTGTGTGTGTGTGTGTGCGCGCGCGCGCGCGCGCGTGCGCGGGTGTGTGTGTGTGCAATAACCAAGACTGAGACCTGAGAACTATTAGCCTGTCTCATGTTAGAGAACCCAGGGACCAGGGGTATAGCCCACTAAACACCTCTACAACACATGTAAAAGTGATGACTCCCCAGGAAACAAATGCTGGGAATCCCAACGACGTTTCCCGGGAATTCACCTACAGGTCGATGAGAAGTGCCTGAAGGGATTGGGAGAATTGGGGGAGGGGGGGCGGTATTATCCAGGCAGAACTGGGAGTCCAAAAGGCCAGCCACGTTTTTCAGAGAACTCTCTCCACCAGCCTCTGTTGGCCAGGACTACTTCGACATCTCCAACAAGACCCAGGCGAGGACAGCTGTGGCCTGTGGCTGCTCCTGGGAGAGGATCCCTCCGTGTTCCTCTCGGGTTTTGCATGCATGAACCCAGGAGAGTAATACTTTCCTAGAAACCCCTGACTGTCCTGTCCTTTGGCCAAGCCGATCTCTGGAGCAGTTTCGGCCAGTGTCCTCTTTCTGAGTTACCAGCATGAAACGCCTTTCTCCTGTCCCGGTGGCCCTTGTACTGGTAGTCAACAGACTCTAGTGTAGCCCAGCTTCAGCCTGGGGACCAGTGTCGGAGCTTTATATTTGAACGCAAAGCGCTACCTTGGCTTCCAGTAAACTTGCTATTTCCGCGCACCCCAAGCGGGAGCTGTTCCCTCAAATCATAATCCGACTAGCCCACTGAGCTCTGGGCCACAAGGGCCAGCGTCGGAACTCCGGCTCTGCTGCCGGAACAGAAAACAAAAGAGTTATAGAATAATTTTCACGGGAACGCCGGAGCCTCGGGGGTCCGGTACCCCGACTCCTGGCTGCTCCTCTGGCAAGTGACCCGGAGCAAGGAAGCGATGCCACGAGCCCCCGCTGCCCAAGAAAGGCAGGGAGAAGAAGGAACTAGAAAATAAACTGAATTCACCTACTCTGCCTCAGTTCCCGGACCCCAGACACACCCCCAAAGTATTCCGTGTGTTTTCTCTCTCGATCGCTCTCTCTTTTTTAATGTCTCCCGAAAAACCTAAGCAGGGATCCTTAGTGGCGAACAGCAGGAAGGAAAGAATCCGAGCAAATCGTGTCACTTTCCGCACAATCGCGTTGTTTGGCAAACCCCGGGAGCTGCTCCACAATATTTACTACCCGAGCGCACGCAGCGCCGCCGCGGGCTGCGACCGAGCGCGCCCGGGACGGGCCTCCGCGAGCCGGCCCTGTCCGCCCTGCCGGCCCCAGAGCGGCCCGGCCACCGCCGCCCCCCTCCCGGGATCGAGCCGCCAGAATCGGTGCAGACAAAAGCAGAGCGTTCACCTTGTTGCAATAGTAGGGGTCCAGGCAGGGAGAAGGTCCCAGACAGGGAGCGGCGGGAGCAGCAGCGGGCTGGGCTGGAGGTGGATAAAATCTTACGTCCATTTCACTCTCACATCAAGCAACTCCTTTTCTTTTCCTTTTTGAAAAAAAAAAAAAAAAGTGCTCAGCAAAAAACAAGCTTAGACGGAACAGAGAGAGGCGTCTGGGCTCAGGAGGAAAAGAAACACCTTCCTTCCCTCACATCCGTTTGTGGTTTGTTTAAGAAGAGAGAAAAAAAAAAAAGAAAAAGAAAAAAGAGAGGAAAAAAAATAGAGGGTGGAAAAGCGCTCAACTCTCCCCCCCGAAGCCGCGGCGCGCACCCGTCCACGCCGAGCGCGCAGCCTGCCTGGTCCGCTGGGCCCCAGCGCTCTCGGCCCCGCCGCTGCCGGGCAGGTAACTTCACGCGCTCATTGTCCCCCCCGCCCGCCGCCCCATCCCCGCCTCCCGCGCCCCTCGCTGCCCGGCACTCGCGCTCGGGCTCGAGGTACTGGGCGTTTTATTGGAGACTCTGCCTTGCACTGCTTTTAGTTTTTCTCCACGTTAGAGGTCTGGGATGGGGAAGTGGGGGGAATCCAGGAGAAGATCGGGACCGGAGGAGACTAGCGCCCCGGGGCGGGCGGGGGTGCCGACAGCGGCGGGACGCGGCCCAAAGGCTGCTGTTTGGGGCCAGGGACCGGGCCAGGGAGGAGCGCAGGGTGCGGAGGATGGGGAGCGCTGTCCAAGCAGACGTGGCGGGACCCCGGGCAGCGTCCGCGGTTCCCCAGCCACCACCTCCGGGTGGGTGCTGTGGAGGTGGATAAAATCACACAAAGGGGCTGGAGAGTCGGAGCACCGGCTGACTGGGGCACCGCGGGGAGCGCGCAGCAAGGGGGCGCTGTGGCGCACCCCGCTCAGCACCCCTCAGCCCCTCCCCTTGCCCCACCCTTTCTCTGAGCCCCCTACCATTTACTCCTGCCCGGAGTAGCTGTATTGCCATCCTCTGCTCCCCGCGGGTGGTGGAGGCTTGTGTGCTGAGAGGTGCTGCTCCGGGTTCTGCAGGGAGCGCGACCTCTGCGAGATGTGAGTGGGCAGCTGTCCAAGGGACTCTAGTTGATCTCAGGGCAAGAAGCAATGCTCCTGGGGTTGGTGCTCAGAGGGCTCTGCGTCCTGTCTCCATACCCTGCAGGAGGGTTTCAGAGGCAGAGCCTGCTTTGGGTACTCACGAAAAGACCCCAGGGGGGCTTGGAAGGGTAAATAAGGAAACAGTTATCAGCACACCAGGAACTACAGGGAACACATCTGGGTTTGTTAGTTGTCTCTTGGAGTTCTTTCATGGCAGGACTCCCAATAGTACTCTTGGAGCCCCCACCCCCACCCTACCCTCCACGACCTGCAGCCCTCTTCCCATTATTCTCTCGATCAGTGGGATAAGGATATCATCAATATTTTACATTACTTCGTCAACCCCAAAACTTGCAGTATTGTGTCCCCTGGCATCTGGGAGAGTTTGGGGGCCCTTGGTCACTGTCCAGGGGGCACCCTCCACTCCCCGGAAAAAGTCCTCAGAAGGAAGTCAAAGTGGGAATGGGCAGTGTTTACCTTTCAAAAGTTCCTCACTGCCACGCACCTTAGGTGCCTAAGACCCTGCAAGGAAGCCCAAAGCTCCTCTCCACAAGTTTCTGGAGCCAAAGAGTATATGGAAACCGTCTTACTGTCCCCATACCCTTTTAGAACATGGTGGGTAGCTAGCCACTCTCTAGCTCTCTACCGCTTTCTCCAGATTTCTCTCCTCCCCCTCCCCCGCCCCTATAATTACAAGCACCAGTCAAATGCAAAGACCAGGAAACTACCAATGCCCTGTAAGGATGATGATTTAGCATCCGTGGGTCTCTCCTCTTGGCAAAGGCCTTTGGGAACTTATCTTCAGACATTGCTCTCCACCCCGTGCAGCCTCTTTTCTCTTAAGCTTCTGTCTTATTTTTACAGATAGCAAGAACACAGTTTCTTACCTCCAGACTAGTGTAGTGGAAGTTGAGGTGAGAAAAAGAAGACAGGAAGGCTTTCACTCTGAGTTTAAACTCTTTGAATCACAAAATAAGAGCCAGAAAGTGTCATCTTTCCTGGAATAGAGGTCTTTATAATAAAATTTACAGCGAAGTTTTGTGGTTCATCACATTGACTTTAAAATTCATTTGTAGATGTTAAAATGTGTGCGTGTCCTCCCAGGATAATAAAAGTTTTTAGGTTTAAATGAAACATATCTAAGCTTAACTTTCTGTCATCAACAGATATTATCAACAAATGATATCATATAAAGTTTTAGCTTTACAAACTTTCTTAGGATTCATAATCAATTTCTGTTTGGCCCTGTGAACTCCAGAAAAACGGACAGGTTTGCAGCTGGAATGGCGTTACTGTGAGGGTCCTAATATTTTGGACATACTGGATGTGTCATACCCACTTCTTTCCACTACCCAAATGCTAGGGACCTGTGTGTCACCCCGCAAACAATCAACAGTCGGAGGTGTGTGGAGTCACAGCGGGTTGCTTGAGCTTTGCATGGGAAGGAATTTGAGCTATTGGGATGATTTAAACACCGAGCATGGTCATCTCAATATAATAATTAAGAATACCCACAACTTTATGACATTCTCCCCAAGGTCTACAATATACTGAATGGTAATATTCTATTCCACTGAAGAGAAATTTGAATAGCTACACCTTGGAGTGAATATTACTTTAAAAATGAAATAGTTCTTTTCATAGTATGTTAAGGTTCTCATTTATTTCTCCAGTCGTTTATGTGTACAGTACTAAGCAAAGACAGAGAGACATACAAAGCTTTATATGGCTTTGGAAAAAACAAAACAAAACACCACTTAAAACTGGGCGTAGCAGGGAAATGGAGACTTACTTAGACATCCATCAAGGGGTAAATGGATAATGGAAATGTGGCTCTTTGAAATCTGTGCAGCTGTAAAGTAAAAATGAAATCAATAAATTTTCAGGAAAAAAATGGAACTAGAAAGTATTGTAGTGAGTTAACTCAACAAGACAAAAACCGCTTATTTTGGGTCATGTAGACCCTAGCTTTCAGTAGTCACATATAGGTCTAAAAGCCGAGTGAGCAGGTATACAGCCAATGAAGCTAGAAAGGAAAGTAGGAGATGGGACTAAGAGGTGCTGAGGAGGTTGGGAGGGCGATAGAACACAGGAGACAGGAAAACTGAAAAGACAGTAAGTGGGTACAGCAGCAGGGAACAAGGAAGGATGGCCAGAGAGATGGGAAGAATTAACAAAAACACATTTTTTCTTTAAAATGCCACAGTGAAACTTAATACTGTATTATATGCTGGTTAAAAATAAGTAAGAAAAAAAGAAGTGAAGGCAAAGGAATCAAAGACTTCAAGGTCACTCCCAGCTGCACAGAAAGGTGGAGGCTAGCCTGGGATGCGAAAGTCCTTGCCTCAAATACAATAAGTAAACAAAGAAAATTGTAATGTAAAATAGAGCACACTGCTGAAAATGGTTCCTGCTCTAGATGAGTTACAGTCTAGAATCATCTTTCCCGAATGTGTTGGGTCTGTGAAGTCATCCCAACAGCTTCAAAAGTGTGCATGCCTGGTCACCAGCCTCACCAGCCCCATGAATTCTGGGTCCATTCATTTAGAGATGGGCCTGGCCTAGGGAATGGTTAAAAGTTCTCGCCTGGCTTCCATCTTCAGGAAAGATGGAAGCTACTGATGCTAAGATGAACACACAGGAAATGGTAAGAGCAGGTTACTAGTAAGAAATGTTACTAGATATGCAAGGCTGTCCTTTGTGTTGGTCCTCAGATGCCAGGGAGGATTACCCCCATAGGATACCTTCATGTGCCCTGCCCATCCGGAGGTGGAGCTTCAGCATTTCCTCAGTCTCTCTAAATGAGCATCAAGAACTATAATGTGTTCCTCCAGGTTACAATTTTTCACTGGGATTAGGAACTTTACATAGTCTAAGAGGAAATGTGTGTCCATGAGCAAGGCCTCTTCTTGTTAATATCAGTGTCATATGACCAATACCTTGACTTGTAAAACACCTACTATGTCTTAGACAAGATCTGAATATTTTTACATTTAGTTTCACAGTCTCATTTAATTTGATAATCGTATAAATTACACTGGAAAGCCTAACCGAAACATAGCCAGCATTTGATTTTGCTGTTTCAATGTCTCCCGAGTTAATTTTAATTATAGTTTTATACACTGTTGTATCTTCAAATTTGCAGACGTTTGCACTGACTACATTTTGCATTTACTGATCCTTTCTATTATGTACGCGAGCCCTGAATCTTACAGGAATTTCTCCAAATCACATACAAAGAAGGTAGACTTTGGGGAAAATATTTTCTAGACAGCAAATCCTATGTGTGATTTATGAAAATTTTATAAAAATCATTCCGTAGAAAATTGTACTTCCTGCTCAGCACTTTTTTCTTGGAGTTTGCAGTTTCTCTTCAAGGATAGAAGTCCTCTGTAGATACACTATCAGAGTAAACCATCACATAGAGGGACTAGCTGTGTAAAGCTAGGCATTAAAACCCAAGTTCCACTGAGCTGGATTACATAACTAAATTAGGACTCAGTCCTTTACTGGTGTCTTCTAGATACAAGGATGAGAGATTCAGGGCTAGATGATTCAGCATCTTTTCAGTAGAAGACATCCCACTGCACTTTAAAAGCCCTGTGTTTGGCCCCTTTGTACGACTCCTTGTATTGTAAAGCATGTTAATACAGGTGTGTTCAGATTTGCCTTCCCACAGAGATGTTCTGTGTTTGTTTCATGAGAATCTTAATCAACACTCAGTCCTTACATTTTAAAGATCTCAAAAACATCATTAATGGTTTTGATGGGAACCTTTACATTTTCTCAATTTCCTGGTTAGAACCACTGCTGTCCAGGGTTATTTAACATTTTTTTCTAAAGTAATTTAAATGTAAACTAGAATGATGTGCAATAAGTAATATCTTACAGTGGAGGAACAGAAAGCACTGAAGTTTATTTCCTGGGGAGACGAGGGAGAAATGACTCGATTGTAAGTCCTTCAACCAGAAAATAAAGGATTTCAGAATGATGAGGAAAGTTTGAAGGGAATGCTACTGGGTTCACAGACACCTCACATGGTACTAAATGACTCATAAAATGCAGTATTTCTTACATAATATGGGAAGTGTGCCATGCATGTACATCGAGTGTGGTACAGTACTTTGATCTTCAACAATATACAACATTTGAGGCATAATAACGGTAATAGGACTATTCAGCTCTTTTACACTGCAATAATCCAGTTCTCTCTCATCGGGATAACCGTGAGGACAAATCCTTTCAAAATCAGAATTAGTTCCTTGTAGAAGAGTGAGACTACAATTATCCCCTAAATAGGAGCAGCTGCAACATAGTATGGGCCCGGAGCATGACAGTGAAGTGGTTTTCCAATGCAATTAAATAGATTTTTTTTAATGCAAACTAAAATTCTGTTAGAAGTCAATTGAAAGGTGAGTAGGTGTGGAATTGCTGAGATGAAAGCAAGAGTCATTTTACTTACCTGAGTTAATATTCCTGCCTGAGCAAATGTTATTTTGTTGAAAATGGATAATCAAGCCTCATATTTCCCCATGAAGTGGGCCCCCAAATGGAATCGGGGGGAACACAATGGAAATATCATTTTGGTTTATCTGTGAATTACATATCATATTTTGAAATGTTTTCGTAGCTACGTTTGGTTATTGTTAGTTTTCAAAAAGGTATGTGTCAACTGCAATACTTCAATTTTAAGAAAGAAGGCAATACCTGGGTAAAGAAACAGA